AGGCCAACCACACTGATGCCGGTCGCTATAAGGTCTGTCTCTTATACACATCTAGATGTGTATAAGAGACAGGCTCTCCATGGACAGCAACGGTGTCACCAGCTTCATTTCGAAAGAAAAAAGGGGCGATGATTCCACCTGACCAAAAACCACCCCAAACTATCAATTTTGGGTGAATGTAATGGTTGTTCATGGACCATTTGTGGACTTTCTTCGCAAYAAAATCGACAGATTGTTGATTTACTTCACTCCACTCTTATGAAAGTAAGCTTCATCGGAGAAGATGATTTTCTTAATTATTTATTGTGATTTTGATAAGATAAATAATTAACGTGTAAACGTTGTTCTTGAGTATATCTTTTCAAGATGAAATTGTAAGCATTACTGAATAAAAAAAATTTGGATCATGACATATGCAAAAATTTCCGAAATCATATCATCCTTATTGGAAACCCCGATTCAAGATACGTATTTGCGAAATCTTTACAACTCGCCAGTGTATATAACCCCACAAGATTGGATGCTCAAAACTGAGGCGAGCGCAAAACTGACGAAAACGAGAAGTCAGCTTCAAAAATGTCTGCATACATTTTCAGATGAAACTGCACCGGTACCTTTACGGACCAAACCAAAGCCGAAGCCGATCAATGTGAGAAAGCAGTTTGAAAGCGTTATCCGCTTATTGCATAATTAATTTTTATGTTGGTCTCATATTTTGCTTACAAGAAATTACCATGATAGCACACCATTACGAATAGTCGCTGTTAATATTTTCAAGAGTAAGCTTATGACGGGGATTCCCATAAACCATTAGAATTTAACATATTCAATGTCAAATTTATGTCGGCACTCTTTTAATCTATTGGAAAGTTGTAAATACTTTATTTATTTACACATTTTTTTCTTTTACGAACAAAACATTCATTAATTCTTTATATTTCCAGTTATAAATAAATTTTATTTTAATTAAATACTTTGCTTGTAATAAAAACAAGAACAAGAAATATAACAGTACAAAACAATATAATAGCTCGAAATTTAGCACTGAATCTTGCGTTCACTTGGCAGGCAAAATTAGTGTGATTCAAAARCTCGTAGAAAACTGACCTTATATGAGTTATTTATGATTTACTGTATCGATCAAAAGTAATACGGCGTCTCAAAATTAAAGGATGGAGTCTTAAGGGGTTACATGGGTTTCCTCAACAATTTTTTTCTCATATAAAAAATTAAACATTTTATTATAGTTTTTAATTGTCACAAACACATACTAATAACAAAGAAATTCTGAAATGTTTGGGAWAAAAATACCTTCAAAATCGGTCATTTCCGGTGACGCCTCAGAAAAAAGATGCGCCCGCCTTGCAAAGATAACTCCTTTGAGTAACATCTAAAGTGAAAAAATACTTAACTTAGGACGAAGGAAAAGATATGCAAATTGAATTTTTGACTGAATTTTTTACAAAACAAAAAAAATTTCGCGTAATTTTTTTCAAATAGTTGTAATCGAAAAAATCCTTCCTCCAAGTCTTTGAGAGTTGTATCTCAAAGAAATGTGCAACACTTCATGAAGATCGGTGCACTAGTTCTACAGAAATCTTAAGAACCATAGAAAAGCGCATTTAAAGACGACGCACTTAGCCTAGCTAGCCTAGCTCGGATCAAATGAAAGTTTATGGCAACATTCTAGAGGTGTGTAGAATTTAAAAGGACATAAAAAAAATTTGATTTTTTTACGTCCGTAAACCCATGTAACTCCTTAATAATATGAGCAGTTCCTGCAGAACCATTTAACAATACAATAATGAAATATTTATAAACAAGTATTCAGACTGCCAGTTTTTTAACCATATTTTAATACTTGTGGCAACGTGCCAGAAGTTGATTGTGWCTAGGCGACCTGAAAATTCATAAAAATACCAATGAGTATGATTAATATAGACAATCAAAAAAATCCTTACAAAAAATGCTCTAAAAGAAAAAAAATCTGGAGCATCTTACATACATATGTAYATAAGTATATACTCGTACAAGCAGAAACCAACAAAAAATGCTAAGAATTGCGCTGAAGAAAAACTCTAAGAAATTTACAAAAAGGAAGCATCTAAAAAAGTGGATCTCCCAATATGTTTTATAAAAAAAAATGTATTGACTGTTTTCCATTAATTTTTATAAAATTTTGTAATGTACTTCTATTTAATTAATTTCGCCAAAAAGCAATTAAATCTGAAACCTGGCAGCGAACCGCGACAAATGTGGGAGAAATTTCCCATCGCCTTGAATTTTTCAATTTATGTCTTCAACGTAACAAATCCCGATGAAGTGCAAAATGGCGGAAAACCACATGTGCAAGAGGTCGGACCATTTGTATTTGAGTAAGTGCCGTTACTACAGGCAAAACACTCCAACACACACACATACCATACTAAAATATTTCAAATGAATATTAAATACATAACTAAATGCCATAAAGGGAATGGAAGGACAAATACGATTTGGAGGACTTTGAGGATGAGGACGCGGTGGCCTATAATATGCGCAACACGTTCATTTTCAGACCGGATTTGGGCCTAGGCGGCGAGGAGTTAATCGTGATGCCACATCCACTTATACAAGTAAGGCGGTTTAACTATTTCATTTGTTGAATTTGTCTTTTCAAACTGTCAAATACGCTTAAACTTTGTTACAAGATCATGGCTATAGCCGTCAAACGTGACAAGGAAGCCTTGATCAACATGATATCCGAGGGTTTGCAAGCGCTATTTAAGCCCACCACGCCATTTGTGCGCGCACCTTTCATGGACATTTTCTTTCGCGGCATCGATGTGGACTGCTCCATCGATCATTTCGCAGCCAAAGCGATTTGTTTGAATTTTCACACCGGCGCCATTAAAGGCGCAGAAAAAGTGAATGCAACACATTTYAAATTTTCGCTCTTAGGCGGGGTAAGTTCGCCATTGCAATCATTAAAGTATATTTGCTTATTTAATAAACGCAACTGTAATATAAACTTAGGCCAACCACACTGATGCCGGTCGCTATAAGGTAGCGCGAGGCGTCAAGGTTAGCCGTGATATTGGACGCGTGCTTGAGTTTGACGACTCTGACGAGCTGAGTGTCTGGGATGGTGATGAGTGTAATCAATTTCGCGGCACCGACACCACCATCTTTGCGCCACTAATGAAGCCCGAAGAGGGACTGTGGTCGTTTGCTGCCGATTTGTGTCGTTCGTTGGGTGCGGAATTCGAGAAGAAGACCACTTATGCAGGCATACCAGCATACTATTACACAATCGACTTGGGCGATCCCAAGGTGAAGCTCAAATGAAATATCTTCAAATAGCTGTATGTATTTTAATGAAATAGAATATTGATATTTTTTCAGAACGATCCAGATAAGCATTGTTTTTGCAAGGATTATCCCGACGACTGTCCACCCAAAGGCACCATGGATCTAACCTTGTGTAATGAGGCACCCATGATTGTCTCGCTGCCACACTTTTTCAAGGCCGATCCGCAATTGGTTGCGGACGTAGATGGTGTGGATCCAGTGGAGGAAAAGCATGGCGTATTTATTGTTTTCGAAAGGGTATAACTTGTGTTTAAAGTGTTATATTATAGTATAAGTAAGTGTTTTGAAAATAATGAACCAGAAACTAGAAGATTATTTACGTGTTGGGTACGAAAGTTTCAAAATTTACATATCAACAGCATAAATAGAGTTTCTTGATTTTTTAGCTATAATAAATTCAAACAATGACCTAATAATAATATTTTTTTCACTTAAGATATCTGGTACACCCCTCTCTGCCGCTAAGCGCCTGCAATTCAGCCTCTCCGTGATGCCCGTGCCAGAAGTTGAGGTTATGAAGAACTTACGCACACTCACCATGCCGCTCTTTTGGGTCGAAGAAGCGGCCAGTTTGGACAAGACATGGACTGATATGTTGAAAAAGAAGGTTTTCTTGTAAGTAARCAATGTAATTTGCCAAAATTAGCGCACTTTCCGAAATATTTCCACGCAGAGTCATCAAAATAAATAATRTCTTTAAATGGATGTCCACAATTTTCGGAGCATTGGGCTTAGYAATCAGTCTCTATATGCTCTTTGGTAGAAATCAAATCACCACAACAAACGTCACACCCACTACCGAAGCTGATACGATCGATAAACATTGAATTAATTAGCGGCTAATTTAAACTGTTTAAGTGACGTGGCGWTAATAAGTTAGAAAATTTAGTTCAGAGTTAGTAAATGTGTTGTCTTATTGTAATTATTGTAGTCCGTCATATATAGATACATATGTACATATATTTTTATTGTACCTGTATTAGCAAAGCAATTCAATAAATGTGAAWTAGAAATGTGACGATTTTTGCAATCATTCGGACAGTTGTTGCGATTCTCATGAGATGCCTTGGTAATGACCACCTAGGTGTTACCACGATAATTTGCAGCACTTAAATTKCTCAATGCTAATTGGGTATTATCGAGCCAATGGCATGAATGCATAGCTATGTCTGTCATTACTYATGGCGTTGTGTTGGGTCAATTAGTAGTATTTTTACCATCGTATTTCGCCTGGATAACTAAAGCCCTAAAAACAATAATAAATAGGGGGATACAACATTCAGCTGTCAGCAAGTTAAGCTAATGAGACGAAGCCACGTTATTATTGCTAGTTAGTGGCGCATTTTTTTCATTTCAACTTCAAGAATTTAAGTTGATCACTTTAATTTTGATTCCCACGCATACCATATATATGTACATATTTTTCTTGACAGAAGTCATACGGCTTGAGATAAGAACTGTTTAGGTAATGATTTTACCCAGGCCCAGCTCTGATTAATAGAGTGCTTTTAAGATGTAAATACGATACAAATACGATATTTTACATATTAGTATGTACATTAGGGAATCCGTTTTGGAGTTTCCGTTTTTGCACATAAAAATTAAAAAATTTAAGCAATTTTTGTTGGAAATATCGGCCAATCTGGTAGATACGTTATTGAAATACGGGGAGATTGTTTTTTAGTATACTCTTGTGCCAAAAATGGGAATTCTTGGACATTCCTTAGATCCCATGTACCTAATGTACGCATTTTCAAACTTCAACTTGACTTTATACCACATATATCAGTCAATATGTGAGTTAACTTTATAAAAATTGAGAGGTTGTTACTCATAACAGTGGATCTTTGTCCCTGAAATGGAAAAAAGCAGGTGAAAACTTGCCTCAGCTTGAAACATCCGGCTGACTTTACTCCATATGTATATGTATGTATATTTATAGTATATCTAGAGCTTTACATATAAAAATTACGTGTCACGTTGTTTGTCCGCGATGAACTTCTAAACTACTGAGCCGAATTTAGCAAAATTTAGCACACTGTGTTCAGCTTGAAGCAACTTAGAAGATAGTCAAAACAATTTATAAATAAGAAATACAGTGAAAGCTATATTAAATGGACGCTCTATAAAGCGGACAACTCTAACAACTGGGCACAAAGGCTAGTTCGTCAGTGTCTCTTTATGGGAGATTTCACTGTATATATTTCTTAACATACGCATGWATTCAYAACCCCAATGAAATATTATACAGTTGAATTTCTATAATTCAAACTTTTATARTTCGAAGTTCTCYATAACTTGAACTCTTGAATCAGCAATAGCAGTCAAATTGTTTACAAATTTCCTGACAAACTTCGAAGTTTTTCTGTGGATTTTCGTGATTCGAGTTATGAAAGTTCAACTRTAATTATAATTKTWAATAAAATGCCAAATCTTAAGGGCTATTTTCTCAATRYCTGGTTAGCAGCCATTTGTCAGTTACTMCTTTCGGTAAAGAACCTTTTTTAACTGACAGCTGCTTTTAACTTTACAGGAGAAAACAGCCTTAAATTCGTTATTTTTTCCATTGACATTTRCTAGCATCAACATATTCAAAATTATACCTTAAGTACAATCGCCTGGATTCTTATATAAGTATCTTAACTTTTATAGTAATTAAGAGAGAAAGTATTATAACGAATAAATGCTAACAATAACTTCGAAGCAACTCMTTATTTTCCATTAGCAATAATATAGTACATTTTAATTTTAACAACAAATTTAAAAATATTTGTCGAAGAGGATTAGTATTGATTTCAAGGACAACTTACATAAGCGCACTRAAATGGCAGCAAAATTAAAACCCAGTCTTTAAAATCCTCAAGGTATTTCCCAGAATTGATTATACAAATTCCTGGCTAAAAAGTAGAAACAGGATTTTAGTACTTAGCAAAAATACAGTTTGCTACCTGCCTTATTCACTACTGATCCCTCGAGCATAGTTACCGTCGTAAGTTTTTACCTGCGTAAAATCCTTAAAACACGAACAAATTTTGCAGTCGTCGTCAAAACGTGTTTCAACGTTAATAAAGACGTATAAGCTCTTCCTTGTGCCGAAAATTAGAAAATCCATTGAGAATGAACGTAGAAGACTCAGCGCCAGATTTGGCTGAAATCTACAGAGATTTCAACATACTGCGTTCCATAAAAGATCCTTCAGAAATGAGAGTTAGGGGTTATGACCTCTATGAAAAGCTCGATTCTTGTGCAGAACCTCATCCTATCCTGGCCGATATAAAAAASTGTGTAGGCAGACTCATAGAGATGACGTATATGGAAGAGGAAGCGCGCGGTCCGTATTTAACATTAACAATTAGAGAATTCGTGAAAGCGTGTAAAAGTTGYGGATCCTATTTGCATTGATAAAAATATGATATAATACTTTATACTTTTTAAAATACGAAATGCTAAATTTAAGGGATTCAATATGATAATTATAAATATTAAAAAAGCAATTTTCATGGAGTTTGTGAAAGTAGAGAAAAGATGGAAATAAATATAAAAATATTCAATGAAAATAATTATTTAATGTTTTCATCCTTCATTGTTTGTTACAGCACATTATTTATTTTTTTAATTTAGAAATAAGTAACACAGGGTGGCACGATTGAGGCTGAAAACTTATTACTTGTCTGTGCTCATCCCTCTTCTAAAAGGGCCATAATTTTCCTTTGACTGCTCTAGTTTTGATCAATAAAATTCACTTACCAGAACTTTGMMCTTCCTTACTTGTTAGTTTAAGGAGGAATTTTTAAAAAGTAGTGGAATATTTTCCCATTTTCAGAGCAAATTTACTAACGTATACGTAGAATCGTCAGAAAAGTGGTACAAAGGTGGCAGAGAGCTCAACATCTTGTTCTTGCTGGASTCGTCTCAATAAAGCTGAATTTTTTTCAAAACGAGTGCCGTAAACAGATCTGTTTSGACATGGTTGATCGTGCAAATTCCCATCCTACATTCATGGAGGGCATTATAAATACCGATGAGACATGGGTTTATGAGTTTGTTCTCTTCGATATGCGTGCTTTGCTACATGTTGAATTTGTTCCGAAGGACCGACGATCAATAGGGCGTTGTATTTGGCCGTATTTGGCTTGAATTTGACATGCAAATGCAGTGGCTCATGACGTCATAAACGAGCGATGAAAATTTGACAGTTCGTTGCTCCGTCAAATTAATACTCCGCAAAAGATAAAATGCAAAGTAGATTTCAGAATATCAATATAAATGTTTATTAATAATACCACAGCTCTTAAAACTAATGCAAACATCATTCATGGAGAGGAGGAAAACACTTCATTATTTTGTTAAATACTTTATTTTAGTCTACAAAACTATGCTAACTTACAGTAACAGCTAACCAAATATCGATAATTTATTGGTATTGATTATTAAGCATATACAATTTTGAACAACAGCGAATTTATTTACATTTCAAAATGAAAATTAACTCAAAATTAAACACATTTAAAAAATCAAAAAAATTTCACATATATTTTTAAATTTAATTTGACTTTGGTTTTGTTGTATTAAATAATTTATGCAAAATTTTTTTAAAGAACACATTAAAATGGTAGAATATGCAAAAGAATTTACAGTAACACAAATAGAGCTGAAGAATATAAATTTAAAAATAATTAATATTCTTCAGCAGCTTTTATTCATTATATTTTATACATATATATATTTCAGAGTTGTCACACGCATTTGTACACATAATAATTAAATACATATTAAATAGTTTTATGTAGTTACAATATTTACAAAAACTTTTTCTACACAAAAGAAAAAGTCGAAAATATTTGCACACAMACACACTGTAAAAAATGAAAATGAGACTATGCGCTCTTCCAAGAACAGACTGCAACTGAAGAGAGAGGGATAGAGTGAGAGGAAGTATGGCGGCAGTATTGTGCACATACTTAGACACCCTTCCATAATTGAATATCACCGAGCTAATTGTTAATGAGAAGTTAGTTGAGCTTTTTGACTTTGTGATGAGCATGGCGTATGCTATGTTGCATGACTTCGGGGCGAAAGAATAAACGCTTCAGCAGGTAGTAGATTAGRTAGATGGCGCCCATGTAGAGAGCGACTACATCGACAAGGTAGTATTGAATCCAACTGAAAACAAAAAAATTAGTTTAGTAAGATTTATGGAACCACTAGTAAAAAGGTTAAAAACTCTGTGAGGTTATGGCAAGTAGTACAGTAGATTACCAACGTTTCAATCTTGGCCAGGAGGATGGCGTAATCGCATAGAGGGTGGTCCTCTATCGAAGTTCCTAGATCCAGTGCTAGAACGCAAGATGACCAAAGGGATCCAACTCATTCTCACTCCGATATGAGGAGCGGAGATACTGGGAATATTCACAGCGCACGCAGATGCCAATGTAAGCGCCCCATCAAACGAACACAACATAGAAGATTATTGGTGTAACAATAGTTTCGTAGAGCCTAAAATCGCCTTTTGGTGTGAGTCCACCTTTTCTACAGCTCTTCTATAACTGTATAAGCAAGCGATGCCTGCATTATTTGGCCTCCATGAAAGCGTACCAACGCTGAGCTCTAGATATTCCACCTTATTATCAGGTGCAAGGCGTGATCTCTGTCTTATGTATCAAATGATTTATTATTGATGCTAGAGTTTTGGAACCTTCTTTATTTTAATGAACTCCTATTTTGCTTTCCTCTAACCAATAATCAAGGTGGGAATATCCCTTCTAGAAAAACGTACTATGGCAATTTTTTCACCTTTTCTTCAGCTATTGAAAGTTCTAAATGTAATGAGCTATTAAGTTTCCCCTTTTCCG